TATATATATATAACAAAAAAAATTAAATAAATAAATATATTTATATATGCCACATTATTTTTTTTAACACCACAAAAATATCAAAATGACTTTTAGGGACGCAATATCTGTTATTGACTGATACTGGTATCACATTTATCCTTATTGGATATTTAATTATTTACACCTATTTTAAGACATATGTCATCATATAGCACTAATTAAATGTTTAAATGTTCACTATGCTTACTAAAGCTTTTCACCGTGTCAGTTTACTTTGAGTCTCCGTCACATTTCAAACCTCTGATTATTTCTAAGTTGATGTACACCAGGAGTGTGCTTGTGTGTATTTCTGGTCTCATTTGATTCAGGGCTGTGATTTTAAGAAGTTTATTTCTAGATTCATGAAGTTTTAGTTTGTATGTGTGTGTTTCCTCTGTAGAAAGTGTTGACAGATGAGCGCATGTGTCAGAGCGAGGCGCTGTATGCCTTTCTCAGTTCGTCACCAGAGCACCTGAAGGTCATCGACATCCAGAAGAAATCCTCCTTCTCTCTCGCATCCTTCCTGGAGAGACTGCCGGGAGACTTCTTCTCACACCAGGAGGTACACATGCACACACACACACACACACACACACACACACACTTTTTTTAATGTGGACATTCTATAGACCTATATTGTTTTTACAGATAAATTATAAGCCATCATCTTCACAGAAGACTTTTGAAAATGATCAAATAAAATCTTGGTTTTTTTTTTTCAAATGAGGAAGTCTTTGGATGTCCTCAGAATAGTTTTATCATATTTATCTCACTTCTAGGTACAAATTTGTCTCACATACACACACACCTGCTGAATGCATATTTGTATAATACATTAAGAAAAATAAATATTGAGTTAAATGAGTTGTGTTTTCAGCTATGCTTTTTTTGTTGTTGTTTTCCAGCAAAAATATGTAACCATGCTTATTACAACATACACTTACTTAAGAAGCAAAGTAGCATAAGATTATTATCTAATGAAATTTCGTAACATTTTTTGTAACAAAACCGGATAAAAAAAGTATTTACTTAAAAATAACCCATTTATTGAATTCAGTTTTTTTAAATTATTTATTTTTAAAATTGACCCCATTGGCCAACAGTTTTTGTCAGCTTACTCTTCTGTATTTTTTTTAAAATTGGAAATCTAACAAGACAAAATATTGAGTAATACTTTAATATTTTGCATAACATAACTCTTACACTGAAAAAAAAAGTGTATTTTTGTCTTATTTTCCAGTATAAATATTTAAAATACTTGAGAAGAAAATTACAAAGATAATAAATGAAATACTTTAAAACAAACTTTATGCTTGAAACAAGAAAAAAGCCTTAATAATCTTAAAACTTAATTAGAAAACATTTTTATTGCTTTACTGGTTTTACTGACAGATATTTTTCTTTCGTTCAAAGTCTAATGTCACTTGATTTTAATAAATTTTTTAGGAAACAAGACTTGTAATCTTATGTCATTTAGCTTCTCATGTACTGTATATGTATGTTGATTTACAATAAGAATGTTTAGATATTTGTAGTGAAAAACAAGACAAAAAGAACGTTTTTTTTTCATTCATTTATATGAAGTAAAATAATGAACATTTCGGCGAGCCACAATGATTATCCATTGAAGACTAAATTTAAAGGCTCATTTGTAAGGATGTAACGATTAACCGTGAGCCGGCTGAAAATCGATTCAAATATGTGACGATTCAAATCGGTTCCACCTGCTGGCAGAGAGTGTCGACTTCGTCTCATTCAGCTCAGCTTTCATGCAGATATTTTTTATGTATAGTTTCACAAAACTGAAGTCAAACCATTCTGTTTTTGCTTCAAATTTCGAAATTATACAATTTAATTTAGATTAAAAACTGCTCATGTTGCATGTATGCAGCATCTTTGTTTGGATCATGATTAAAATGCAGTGGTTGCCTCTAATTTTAAATGGAAAGAGCACAGACAAAGCCTTAGTTTGTTTATATGAAGAGATTTCTTTTATTTGTGTTACTTATTTATTTGATTTGGGGCTTGTTTTTAAATTTCAATTTAGTTTAGTTATTTACATTTACATTATATTAAAATTTTGTCATTTAGCTGACACTTTTATCCAAAGCGACTTACAAATGAGGACAACAGAAGCAATCAAAACCAACAACGAGACGGACGGGAGGAAGGACGCGCTGGCTGAGCCCTGCTTCATGCTGATCGGAGAGATCTTTGAACTCAGGGGCAGTGAGTATAACAACACACTGCTCAGATGACTCACTGTCACCCGCACTGATGCAATGTGTGTAGTCAGACTGTGACGGTGTGAAACGCAACAGATCTTTGACCACAGGACCGTGTGACTGATGTTTCTCTAGCTGAAGTGCACATGCTGTCTGCTGCTAAACGCTAGTGCACAACACCCAACAAATATTACTCTATAAAGTCACACTACTGTATGAAATAATAGTCTGGAAAATCTCATTTTTTGAAATGGAACAGTTTATTGAAACTTCGGACTAAGTATAAAAAAAAAAAACACATTTAAAATCTAAAAAGTGAAAGTATGATATAGTGAGAATATGGAGCTCATATTCAAGGAAGAAAAAAAAAAAAAATTGCCCAATCTGAGGAAAAATATGAAAAAAAGACATGTGAAGCACATGCTAAATCATCATTATAAATGTCTTTACAGTCACTTTTGATCAATTTAATGCATCCTTTGCTAAATAAAAGTATCATTTTTTTCTTTCCCTCAAAAACAAAAACATTGGTTGAGTGAGATTTGTGTGTTTTTCTCTCTGCAGTGTTTAAGTGGGTGCGGAAGACACTAATTGCACTCGTTCAGGTCACGTTTGGACGGACTATAAACAAGTAAGCATTAACGAATGGAGGTAATGGAAACTTTGAGTAGAGTTGATTGAGTTGATCTTTGTCTCTCGTCCTCTGCAGGCAAATCAGAGACACTGTAAACTGGATCTTCAGTGAGCAGATGTTGGTTTACTACATTAATATATTCCGGGACACGTTTTGGCCCAACGGGAAACTCGCACCACATAACAAAAGCCGCTCGGAGAGTGAACGCAGAGAAACCAAGGAGAGAGCACAACAGAAGCTTCTAGACAACATCCCAGGTGAGCACAAAAAAGAAATTCCCTTCTCACGAGGGAAGGTTAAACACGGTATATTTCAAAATAAACATTATATTTCAGAAACCTACAGTGTAAGAACATTTACACACAAAGATGACCGGCTGTTTGCTATTCAGGTTTTATTAGAATTACATTCATACCGCCAAAATGAATGCATCTGTGACGAAAATACATGAATTCCAGATACTCAAGGGAAACACTGAACAGTGTTATTTTAGCATTATTTGTATATTATTTTAGTATTTATTAATAATTTGAATTAATTAAAATGTTTTTTTTCAATTTTCATTTTATTTTCAATTATTTGTTTTAGTAACTTTATTTATTTATTTAGTTGACAGGGACATTGTACATTAATAAAACATTCCTGTAAATGTACCAGAATTAGCCAAGGCTATTTTACATCCGTAGTCCCTGGACAAGATGTTACAAGTTATGCTTCTTTTTTTTATTTAGCTTTATTTTTATTTCAGTTTTAGTAATTTTAATATTTCAGCTTATTTAATTTCAGTTAGTTGCCAAAGCATTTTTCAATTTGTATTAATTTTATTTATTATTTATTATCTTATTTGTTGTTTTAATTTTCAAGGTTTTTTAATTTTAAGGTTTTATTTGATTGATTTTATGTTTTGTTTCAACTTTATTTCATTTAACGAAAACTATATAAACTTAGACACTGAATAAAAAAATCAATATTTAGCAGTCATTAACAACATTTAAATATTGAAGCCTCTACCATTTCAGTAACTTTATGCTTTTGTCTTTTTATTTTTTTATATTTCTATTTTGCTTTATTTTTATTTCAATTTTTAGTCATTTTAGTACTTAAGCTTATTTCAGCTAGTTGCCACGGCATTTTTCAATTTTTTATAAATTTTATTTATTATATTTTATGATTTTATTTACTTTTTATTTTTCAAGTTTTTTTAATTTTAAGGTTTTATTTGATTGATTTTGTTTTGTTTCAGCTTTATTTAATTTAACGAAAGCTATATGAACTTAGACATTGAATAAAAAATAAATATTTAGTAGTCACTAACGTCATCTAAACAAGCCTCTACCATTTCAGTTGTTTGCTTCTAGTAACAGAAGTCTTTTTTTTTTTCAAAGTTGGAACATTATAATTACGGTAATTCCTGTTGCATTATTATTATTATTATTATTTTTATTATTTTTTTTTTTTTACAGCTATTGTGATTAGAAACAATAGGTGTGAAAAGGCATTGCTACCTAGCTGACCATTTGTATTTATTTATAAATATTGTAATATTATAATTTTGGTAAATATAAATATTGTTGAAAACTTTTTTTAAAGGGGTCCTATTATGCTTTTTCACTTTTTGAATTTTAGTCAGTGTGTAGTGTGTATGTTTGGGCATAAAAAAGATCTACAATGTTACAAATCTCAAAGTCCACTCCAAAGGGAGATATTTCGTTTTAAAAAAAATCCCTTTTCAAGAACTACAACGAACGGCTCGTTTGGACTACAGCGTTTGTTTTCGGTCGTGGTTAGAACGCTTGGTTGAGTGCATCAGACAAGACAACGACAAAAGAAGAAGTGCTGCTGTAGCGTCAGGTTTTCGCAAGTTATTACACATGCACCTGAATAATTATGTATGTAAATATGTATGTTACAATTATGATGTCTTGCAATATCCGTGTGTGCAAAGGTTCTGCGCGATCCTCTTGTTCAATATTCTCGGGGTCTGAATCCGGCTCAAATTGATATGGCAATATTGACGCCATCCTTGACTATACCGGAGCAGACGGAACTTGCTGCTTTGGCAAGGGGCGTACTGAAACACCATCTAAGCTCTTTGCCAATCACAACGCATTGGGACAGCTAACCAATCACAAAACATTTCGTTTATCAGAAGGCAGGCCTTCATTAAACACCGAACTAATTGAGCCGTTTGTGCCAGACTGGGGAGAAAGGTATTGTAATAATGTAAATTATGTAAAAAAGAATGCGTTTTTCTTAACCACCAAGCATGAGAGCATGCTCTAGTACACCCCCAAAACAAAATCAAGACTTTGTAAAAGA